AATGCCAATATTAGTATGTGAGGATTTTTCCAATCTTCATCATCATTATAAAGTCCAAAGCCTTATGATCATAAAGATCATAGATTTTGATCTAGATAGGACATTAGATGTTCTCTAATCCAATGCTTTCCTTTTTTAGATGGAGAACTGACTTATCATTTAAGGTCAAAAAGTCCTGCTCAAATAATCCACAATTTATAACACTAAACATAAGTGTCAGTCCAACCAGCCTCTGACTTGGGTTCTCTCTTCTATAAATACTCTCCCTTAGTGATCTTTTCCACTCTCATGGCTTTAGTTACCACCTCTAAGCACGATGAATTGCAAAGACAAGTAAGCATTGTTTTGTTTCACCAAATTGAAGATGTACAGGAAGTACAAGGAAAGTATATGTCTCTCATCTAGATACGCTTTGGATTTCATAATTTCTGGGAGGCTGCATGAACAAAGACATGCTTTGTCAGTTGTATGTAATTGTAAAGCAATTTTTAAGAAAAATTTTCCTCCCTTAGAACTCCACTAAATTTAATAGCTTTTGTGCTGTTCAGTTTCCTTTTTCACTTGTTTGTGCTTCTATGGAAAGGCCAACCCAAGCCTTGAGATTCTCAAAAGAAAGACGGCCAAGCAAAAAGAAAATAAGTTTTACTTTTTACTAATAACGTTTTAAATTTTTTGTCTCAGACTCGTCACTCAGGAGGAAGACCCCCCCTACTGGATGCCAAAGTAGGGGATTATTGTAGTAACTACTTCATCTGTGCATCACTCCTTTGTTCTTTCTATTCCAATGATGAAGACAAAGGTCAACTAGGATAGAGAGAATGAATTCCCAGGAACACAGCAGCTATACTATTCTGTCCTTCCATCCCCATTCTTAAGTGTCAAAATTGGGTAAGAGAAGGAGAGGAGAACGGTCTAGTTGAAGTAGCACTTATATATAATTGTGGGAAGTGAGTTCAAATCCATTGTGGTAAAAAGAAATATTTAGTGAACCTACTAAGGAAGAGGCCTGATGTCCATAATAAATTCTTACTTTTTCTGTGGCCCTGGTGTGTCCACAAGGCACACCTAGATAACCAAAGAGCAAAAGAAATTTGTTCTTTCCCAAAGTGATTGCTGACATAATAACCCTCTTTCAAAAAAATACTTTGTCCTCCCTTTTCCGTTTATCTTAAATTTGTTTCAGTTAAATTCTTAGAGCCTCTTTAATATTGGCACAGTAAAGTTTGTAGACACAAGTCTTCTTTTCTCTTTCTCAATTTTTTTCCCAACTTTTCTCTATATATGATTTTCCTCGACCTGTTTCAGGACAAATCATCTTTGTTTTCGTCATGCAAAACATTCTGAGAGATTGGTTCTACAGAAGGTTGATGTCCCTGGAAGGTGAAATCCTGATTGCTTATATATTGTATCTTGACTGTATTACTAATATGGACATCAGCAGAAACCACCAAAAGAACAAATAGAACAAAAGAAGGAAGTGGAGCATAGGTCTTTACTAGGAGAACAGGGAAATGCAAGAAAGCTAAAAGTAAGGACTGCCTGTGGTGTTCCTTCCTGTCCTTGCTTTGTGAACCCAATACTATAACAATAGCAACATTGCAGCCATACTCCATCTAACAAAGCAAGTGGGTGTGCCACTGGCTTCTTAATTGTGATCTTATCCTGCCCCTGGAAAGCATTGGATTTGAAGTTCCAGTTCTGCTACCTAATATCTTCATGACCATGGACAAATCACTTCCCCTTTCTAGGCTCCAATCCTACTGTCTCTCTTGAACTTCACCATTACATCTAGATTTCCTAATGGGTTCTCAAACAAATGTCCAATGTAGAATTCATTTTATTCCCCCCCCCACTCATTCTTCCTTGAAATTTCCTTGTTCTTGTTGTGGGCATCACTATCTTTCCATTCATGCAATCTTGGAATGTTCCTTAAATCTTCTCTCTGCACTTGCCCACATTCAATCAGTTGTCAAGTCTTCTAAATTATTCTGATCCAATTATTCCAATGCCAATACCTCTGACATCTTTCCTGTTCTCTCCATTCAATCATACTGTACCCTGGGTTTTGGCCCTCACAACTGAGGTAATACAACAAATGCCCAGATAGCCTCCTTGTTTTCAGACTCTCCCTTTTTCTAATTCTATCTTCTGCAAAACTGCCAAAATGATATCCTTAAACATCAAGTGGACCTTGTCATCTCTTCCCTTCACTAAAAAAAAAAAAGTCAAAGGCCCTTTGATTGCTTCTAGGGCAAAATATAAATGTGCCCAGATTTAAAGAACCTGCCAATCTAATCCCCACCCACCTACCCTTTCAGTCTTGTTTCATATTTTTCCCCATCATACACTCCTTTCTAGTGAAACTAGACTGTTAACTATTTATTCTATATATCATTCCCACTCCCATCTCTTTTAGCCCAGATGTTCAAAGCAACCTCTCCTTACCTCTACATTACAGAATCCTAGCTTTCCTTCAAGGCACAGAAAATGTATTAGGTGAGTACACAAGGCCTTCCCTGAATCCTCCTCTCTCTGAACTAATTATTCTGTCTGTCTGTCTATCTGTCACTCTCCCCTCTACCTTTCAATTACTTTGTTTATACTTTGTATCTGTGGAGCTGAGCATTGGGGGATGAATGCTTCCTGTAACATCTATTTATTAATTTTGATTTTTTGTTCCTCCAATAGAATATAAGCACCCTGAGGAAAGGAAACATCTTGTTTTTTGTCTCTGTAGCTCCAAAACCAACCTAGCACAGTAACTTAGACATATTAGATGTCGGCTTTATTTTTTTTATCCAAGTTCTACCTCCCAATGTAAGAGAAACAAACAAAACAAAATAAACACCTAACAAGTAGGCACAGCCAAGAAGAACAAATCCCCATATTATCTATGTCTGACAATGTATGTCTCATTCTGCCTCTTGAGTCGATGACTTCGGTGACTTCTCTGTCAGGAAGCAGGTAACCTAGGTCATCAGCAGTCTTCCATGTTCATTCTTGATCATCACACTGATGAGAGATCTTAAGTCTTTCAGAGTTGCTTGTCTTTGTAACATTGTGTTATTCAGTATATATACTCTACATGAGTTCATATAAGTCTTCTCATTATATTCATATACCACAATTTGTTTAGGTACCAGTAGGTGGCACAGGGGATAGAATGCTGGACCTAGCGCCAGGAAGATTTGAGTTCAAATCTAGCCTCAGACACTTATTAGCTGTGTGACCCTGGCAAGTGATTCAACTTCTGTATGCCTCAGTTTCCTCATCTGTAAAATGAGGCTGATGATGGCACCCATCACCCAGGGTTGCTGTGAAGATCAAGTGAGATAATAATTGTAAAGCACACAGCACAGTGCTTGGTGCATAGCACTACATAAATATTAGTTATTATTAACTATTTTTAGTCAATCATTTCCCAACTGTTGGTACCCCCTTAGTCTCCAATTCTTTGCCACTAAAAAAAGAGTCACTATGTTTTTATGCATAAGGGTCCTTATAGTAGGTGATAAGTAAGCACTGAATTGAATTCAAACAAAATAAAAAAAATTAGTTTGAAAGCTTAATGACATTCCTAAAGGTCCCTAGGACTTCTGCCTCTTGGTGTAATATACAGTTAATTCTAATCTACCATGAATTAACCTCCTGGCCTTCACACCCCAACCCTAACAGTATTAAGAGCTTATATTTGTCCCTCTGTCTTTCTGGTGTCATTGGAAAACATAGATAGCTAAGACCTAGAAAAACGTGATTCCATATTTCTTAATAGACTGCTACATTATATTTTTTCTTTGTTATTGTGATCATAAGGATGGTATTTATACATTTTATTCTCTCAATTGTACCATATTAATTGTGCTTATGACATAAATACTCTGAAATGCAATATATTGAGGATTAAGGCTGATTTTTCATTATTTCTCTAGTGGAAAATATCTCTTTAAAGTCACATCTCATGTTATTCCTTATCATATCTTTTCTTTGCTTTGCTAAATTGCTATCAAGATATTAGTTTCTGTTTAGGCTTACTTAAAAAAAAATTCCAAGATATCTTCATATGTGCCCTTGTAAAACACTATGTGGTTCTGTAACTCTTAAACACTATATAAATGTAAACTATTAATATCATCATCATTAATATTTTTATAAACCTAATTTGATGATATATGCTAAAAGGTCTGTAAACTGTTCCCAGTTATTAGGACATCACACAAGATCTTACTAGCAAGAAACTATAGTACAATTTGATAAACTCATCTACAAAACTTTCATGCTTTTCCCATGGAGTAGGAATGCATGATTTTAGTAGCAGACATTATCCTCATATTTCAATGGCCTATTTAGAAGTGAACTGTTCTCAGGATAAAAAAAAAATTACAGCTATAAATCCAGCATATCTTACTTTTATTAAAAATATATTTAAAAAAATCATTTGTTTATAATGGTCTGCTTTACCCCACATAATTGCCAGGGTCTAATTGTCTTTCCTTGATCTTACTGAAACATCATTTGAAAGTATAGTGATAGCTGTGTGACCCTGGGCACATTGCTTCCCCCCCAAAAAAAGTGTAGTGACAAAAGGATTATGTTGCTAAGACTCATAGCTAGATTTACTGAAAGGACTTCTCTATGCCAAATTACCTTTAGTATAATCAAAACTATGATGAAACTAAAATATTAAAAGAAGATTGTTGTACCACACCACACAAATTAAATCTCTTACCACCTTGAACATAGGAGTTATTATTTTTCTCTACCAGTTTAATATGAATTGCTACTGCCCCCCAAACATGTTGTGTGACTCAGTTATTCCAGTTAAGTCACAGAATTTCCAGCTGAAGGAAATCTCATGCAAAATACGCCCCACCATTTCTATGGCATACCAAATATGTGTAGTGTCCCTGCTTCCCAAAGGCAAACATCGAGACTTCACTGATTAAAATCCTTTGCTGTAATTTAAATACATAATAGAAAATAATGCTATTAAGAAGACTTACTTTCTTCCTTCTTGCTAATAATGGCAGGCAGAGTATAAATCTGAAAAACAAAGTGTTTAAATCAGTGTATTTTTTAAATATCAACCAACAGATTAAGTACAGTTGATTAACAAGTATGACATCAATTCAATATCACAGAATGCTTATTCATTACATTAACGGTCATGCCACAACTATCGTCTCTACATTCCTACATTCACAGGACACTAGTACTAGAGCTAGCAAAGACCTCCAAGGTCACCAAATCCAACCCCCTTGTTTAAGAGATTAGGAAAATTCTGAGGTTAATTATCTTGCAGAAGGTCACACAGGAAGAGGATTCAAAGGTCAGAGCCTTTTTCATCACACCATTGTGCCAGTCTTTTCTGAACCCTTGGATACCACATCTTCCCACTTAGGCTTCACCTGTCTCTGTCACTCCTCAACTCCAAAACGTGGTACAAAATTCACCTTCTAGTTCAGGAATTCTACAAGGTGAGTCCCTCCTCACTCCCTATTCCTCTGTTTAGCATGTCCTTAGGAGTTACAGGCTCAACATATACAAAAATAATGTGTATTTTTTTCTTTTGCATCGTTTTTTAACCTTACTCTCTACCAGTGAACCAGCAACACTGGCCTCCTTGCTGTTCCTGAAATATAACACTCCATCTCCTGACTCCCTGCATTTTCTCTGGTTATCTATCCCTCGTGTCTGATACCTGCAATGCTTTCCCTCTTCACGTCCATCTCCTGGTTTCCCTGGCTTCCTTCAAGTCTCAATTAAAATCATACTTTCTGCAAGAAACTTTTCCTAGTCCTCAGTTAATGCTGGTACCTTCCCTCTGAAACTACCTCCTATTTATCCTGTGTGTGTATGCATAATTATGTGTGTGTGTGTGTGTGTGTGTGTGTGTGTGTGTGTGTGTGTGTATCTTATTTATACATAATTCTTTGCATATTGTCTCCACCAATAGACTGTGAGCCCCTTAGGGGCAGGAACTATCCTTGCCTTTCTTTGGATTTCCAATGCTTACAGTGTCTGACATACAGCAGGCACTTAATAAGTTATTGTTGACTATAGAACACCTTGCTAGTGGGTATTCAGTGAATAACCCTGACAGACTCCTTTCTCATCACTTCTTGCTAGCCACAGGTGCTTTTATTCTAAATTTAAGTACAGGCTTTCCACAAACTTCAAAACAATCACTAAAAAATGAAGTCTATACAGGTCACTTTGTCGTCACATGAAAGAGAATGTTCCTTTTTCATTAAATTGGATGAACTTAAACAATTACTCTAGCACTATGAAAACAGAAATCAGAAAGCAAGTTTGGAGAAATGTATTTAAAATGATGCCTGACCATCCCTGGCAAACAGGCTACTATTCTGATTTTATAAGACAGTGAGAGATTAGAAGTTCCTCAGGGACACAACAGAAAAATATTAAAGTATCTGCTTTATCTGTAATATTTGTTTTACTGTTTTGATTTTCCATTTTAATAGTTTTAATCCACTTGAAAATACATAGAATATTTAAAATATTTTATTGATACCCAATTTTATAATGCACAAATTATGAAATGCAAAGTCTCTTACCGGTTCTTTTCCATCCATTGCTTCAAGCCATAGTTTCCTATTTGCTTCTGAGAAAGCTTGCAATGTAATGATTCCATGTCTATTAAAAGAAGAATTTTCTTTGCTTATTTTTCCATTTAAATTTATATTTGATAGATTTAACATTTTTAAACACATGGGCAGGTAAATAAAAAACACTCCTGCTTAGCTATTACTGTGAAAGGCAACAATGCAGAAATTATTAGGGTATCTGAATTAACAGTGCAGTGTACTGCAGTAAGAGGAATCAGTTTGAATCTAGACTCCTCCATATATTAGTTATAGCTATTATGGTCAAACATCATATGTATGGTCATACATGGGCAAGTCATGTAAACCTCTGAGTCTCATTTAAACCTCTTGTTCATTTATAAAATCAAGGGTTTTTATTGGAGAAACTCTAAGGTCCCTTCCTACCCTAAATCTGTAATCTTATGAAATTGAGCTGAATAGAAATACTCTGAATTCTAAGGGCTATCTGTCCATTACTAAAAACAAGTCATTCAGTATTTTAAGACAGAATGTTGTCTGGAAGGACTAGCTCAGTAGTTATCAAAAAATGTTTCATAAGATGTCTCTAATTTCCTTGAAAGAAAACAAAGACTGGCTTTTCTTTTTCTTTCTTTTTTCTTAATTGTGGGAAGATATAAGAGAGAGACGATAAATGCTTATTCATGGAAAAGAAAATACACATTTGAGAAAAAGGAAGAAAACAAAGTTATATTTCACCTATGTTTTGTCTATACATTTCAGACCTTGTCCTAAAATAAGCTGAAGGGCCTTGAAAAATAAGCATAGCAACTCTGCAATCTAAAAGACAGAAAATTTCTGATGGTGAGAACTGAAGTGACTTTGAAGTTCACTTAATTCTATTCTCAATCTTGTGAACAAAGCAATGGAGATGTAGAGAAGTGAAACGTTCAAGGTCACCCTGAAGAGTAGAGGTGCTAGTGGTAGAACCTGGGTTTCCTGACTTAGTCTAATAGAGTACAGGGCTTTTAAAAATGTAGCACAGTGAGGTCTCTGATGACTGTATTAGGCTATAGCTAACAATATAAATTCAATACAAAAAGTTCATACTGTAAGCATACTGATTCTCAGGAGACTGTTCTGGGTCATTTGTTCCCTTTGTTTTACTTTACTGCTGCTCACCCCTGGGAAGGTGTCAGAAGGGAGCAAGCAGGGAATCACAACTGTAACATTTCTGCACTACATATATACTACATGTGAGGAAAAGATCTTCACTGAGATAGAAGAGTCAAATTACGGATTTGAAAATAATTTATTTCAATCATCCATGCTATCACTGCTAACCTTTCCAAGCGATAATTCAAAGCTAAATTTGATCAATCCTTCTCTCATGCATGCATAAATACAAACAAACAAACATACAGGGAATATACATATATACGTACATATATATATGTATATATGTATATATATGTATATATATATACACATATATATGTGTATATATATATATTTTTATACAAACACACACACACAGAGTGAGAAGAGGGGTGCATGGCTACCAATTAGTGACACTTTACATGTATGGCTTCTGAAACTATTCTCATTACTCTCTGCCTTTGTAGAGAAAACTTTTTTAAAAATGCTTTCCTTCATTATTCATACACCTAGACTTCTCCAGGGACTATTTTGCTATTTGAACTGAAGACATTTCCTAATACCTTCACCAAAAGGAAACTAAGGCTAATTAAATGGGGAATAATTCAGCTCAAAACTATTTCCAGGCCTCTTGAAGACAGCTATAACTGGAGCTATAGATTTTCTACAGCATTCAAATGGAAGACTGGCATGAAGAATAAGACCACTTTTAGGTACTTGCATCTCATAAAGTTCCTATTGTCATTGCTATAATTCCCCATTGCCATAAAGTATATAGGAAAAAAAGGATAACCACCGATTTCCTAATTCTTGGTGCTCTCGGCTGCTGCCTAAAGCAGGCTAAAAATTCTTACACAATCACTTTTTGACCTTATAACAAGAGAGATAACAATGGTCATGTGTAAGTTTCTCATCTTACAAAGCCCTTCAATATTCACATTCCAACAAGAGGTCTAATTGTCTAGATGCTATTGAAAAGATAATCTCTTTTTTCTAAGAAAGTTCAAAATTACCAGTTATCCAGAAATGGCTATAAAAATGATGAAGTTCATTTTAACATTCTGTCCTGGGCAGCAAAGCTTAAGCTATGAAAAATCCTACTTCTTCCTCATTAAGCATAAGCAGATTTCAAATATCTGATTACTGTGTTTCAAAAAATGTTGCATTTTATTAAAAATCAGGGATTTGCATTTTATGATATTCAATTCTTTAAAGCTTTTAGATTCTTTTTGATGCAAATTACAAACTCACATTACTGAAAATGAGGGACTTCAGCTTTCCTGAGAGCTGAGTCAATTTTCCTAAGGAAGGAAAATTTCTTTTTGTACTGAAAATGGCTGTCTCTTATGGATGGAAATTCCAAAATTATGTGTGTCAGCCCAACCATAGTCTTACCTCATCTCATGATCTAAAATTTCTGGAATAAAAATAACTAATGTAGAAGAAAAGGGGGGAACAAAACAACCATGCCTTATAGCTAAAAAAGAAGGTTAGATAAAAAGGAGTAATCTCAAATGCATGACTAGACTTTTCTCAAAATTATAGCTAACGATTGTTACGCCAATATTTAATATTAATAACTGTCATGTTTTCTGAACCTTAATGCAGCTGTAGCCAATATGAATCCATTAGAAGTTTACATTTCTCCCTCAAAAAAAGATTTTTCTTAGGAAATGAGCATTTGAAAGGCTACCTAAAATGAACTTGAGCACAATAAAAAAAAGACATAGGATGCCTTTTGTCACTATTATTATCATTAAGAGTATATAAATATATCTGGAAAGCTATAGAAGTCTTTGAACATACAGATAGGTGAGAAAACTGGAGGACAGGATAGGGGAGGGACTTTTAGGGTGGGAGAGAAGATACTGTAACAGGGATAGGGTATAAAGAGGCTGAGAAGGAAAACAGTGAGTAAAGGTATGATGGAGGGAAATTCACAAATAGTAATTATAACTTTGAATGTGAATGGGATGTTTATTACAGCTTTCTTAGTAATGGCAAAGAACTAGAAATTGCAGAGATCTCCATCAACTGGAGAATGGCTTAATAAGTTCTGGTGTATGGTTATGATGGAATACTACTGTGCTATAAGAAATGATAAGGTCAAAGATCTTAGAAAGGCATGGAAAGACTTGCATGAAATGATGAAGAGTGAAGTGAGCAAAACCAAGAGAACATTGTATATAGTAACAGCAATACTGTTTTAAGAACGATTTTGAGCAACTAAGTCATTTTGACTATTATAAGTACACAAATTAAAAATAAAGGACACATGAAGAAAGACGCTATCTGCATCCAGACGAAGAACTGATAAACAGAAGTATGTATAGAATAATTTTACTTATTTGTGTCTAGTAATAACCTTCTATAAGTTGGGGAGGAAGGGAAGAAAAAAAATTACATGATATGTTAACTTTATTACATTTTTAAAAGGAATAGCAAACTGTACATAAATATGTTTATGTAATTTCATGTGTAATCATCTTTTTTATTATACTGTTATGGAAATATTTATCCCATAAATTGAAAATAAAAGAAATTTTAAAAAAATAATATAATCAAAATAATCCATTTTATATCCCATAAAAAGTTTTTAACAAATTTAAAAGGAATATATAATAAATAAGGAGAACCAGCCTCACACCGAGTTGGGAAGTCAAACAGTCAATGTTAGGCAGTTTACTTAACCTCTCAGGACCCCCACGTAACTTTTGAAGAGTCTAAGCTGCAGAATAGTTCCTCAGAGTTAATTCCCTTACACCACTGAAATTACAGGTCCTGACCAAAAACAATAAATATTAAGCCTCTACTGGGAACTGAGCGCCGTGTAGGTACTGAGAAATATAAGAGTTTAGGTAAGACTGTCCTAATATCCAGGGAACTTAAAATCTGGGAAAGGGAAGAAGGATTAAACACTAATACAAAAGGCTAAATAACCAATAGAAAATGTTAAGTGCAGTAGTGTCAAACTCAAGTAGAAACAGGGCCACTAAACCATACATGAAGATCTCTGTAGGCCACATAGTGACTTTAGAAAACTACATATTCATATTATCTATATTTTATTATATTTTTTATTTATTTTGTTAAATATTTCCCAATTACATTTTAATCTGGATTGGGCTGCTGTAAGGAGTGTTATGGGCCATATGTGGCCCATGGACTGTATGCCTGACCCCTCATCACAAAACAAAATATGAACATGAGGTCTTAGTATATGGCAGTTTCTGGGAAGGCTTCCTGAAAAAGGTGGAATTTGAATGCAACAGGTCGAAAAGTAAAGTAATGCCATTATAGGCAGAAGGCCCAGCCTGAGTGAAGGCATGGAGACTTGAAAACATAGTGAATATTAATAAAACAGAGAGTTGTTCAGTTTGTCTGGAAACAGAGAATTTATAGGCAGAAAAATATAAGATAATGTTGGAAAAGTGCCAGATTTGGAGGGCTCTGAATGCTAGATAAACAGACTTTGAATTTTACTTAGTAGGCATTAAGGGAGCTACTGAAGATCTCAGAGAAGAATGCTATGAACACATACGCATAAGAAAAATCATTCTGGTGTATGGAGAGAGAGAGAGAGAGAGAGAGAGAGAAGATAAGAAGACATGTAAAGAGGGCTAATGCCACAGTCTAGATGATGGTAATGAGTACTTGCAGAAGGGTGGTGTTAGTAGTAAAAGAGAAGGAATAAATGTGAGTAATGTTGCAGGGATAAAACAGATAAGTACTGGTAACCCACTGAAAATAAGACAACAAGAGGGGGAAGAGATGATCCTAAATTTATAGATAAGAGTGAATGGAAGTGTTACATATCTACGGTATAAGGTCTGAAGGAGAAGCAGGTTGAAAGGGAAAGAAAATAAATTTGGTTTTGTAGGAAACATCTCACATTCTCAAAACTAGATTTATCTTCTTTCCCTTTCTCCTTCCAAAATGAGTGGTAACATACAAATGAAGTATATTCACAATGGTAAATAAGACAGTCTTATCCAAAAGTATTCTGAACAAAGTCTCAATAACTTGGTGACTAGATCAGAAAAAGAACAAATGCTGGTTTTAACCCATATAAATCACACATATCTTTTTCTTCATAGGATTTAGAGAGGATACAGGCTGCCCCAAAAGACTTTTGTGATATTGCACATATTCCAACATTCTCTTCTCAGGGATGAGGAAACAGAGGTCCAGAAAGTTTATGGGAACTATATGAATTTACACAAGTTTGTAGGAAAGCTAAGATTCACTCTTAGGTTCTTGAACTTCATATCCAAAGCCCTTTCCACTACAGCATATCACCTTCTTACTGGAAGGTAGGAGACTCCAAATACTGTTGTTAGTTTCAGCTGACTGACCACTGAGAATGGAATACGAGCCGAAATAACTTAACATAGTTAACTCTCACAAAAGATGACAATGCAGAGATCCAAACCTAGCTGAGAGCAAGCACCAGTGAGCAGTGTGTGCTGTGGCCTTGAGGATTACTGCACCGTCCCAGCCAAAACACACTAGTGGTTACTTAACAGCCTTATGTTTTGTATTTTCTTGGTAGAATCAAGTAAACAATTTTTGTTAAAAAAGGAAAAAAAAGAAAAAATGAACCTTTAAGAACCAGTTCAAACTATAGGCTCATTCTACGTAGCATTTTAATGGTATAATTTTTGCCAGATATGTAGAATGCAGTGAAAATTTTGGTTCTTGTGAAGTCTTTTGTCATGTAGCTATTAGACTGCAGCTGCGAAAATTATCCAAACTGTTATTTGAGACCAATAGTGGTTTAGAAAAAAAAGAAATCCTTCTGAAGAACCAAGCAAAGTATTTTTTCAGCCCAGTAGTTGAATGGGTTTAAGTCTGCTTGCACTAGCTGTGCCTTCATTACTTTGTTAGAGAAATGCAGTGACTTGTACTAACTAGGAGAGAAAGCATTTTGAAATTTGATTTGAGAAGAGACTAGTATACGGTTAAGAATTTCCAGGAAGACCACATCTAATGTTTGTTAACTGTCTGCTTGTTTATGGATTTTTGTATTTTAATGTGACATAGTGATCTACAAAGAAACTTAGTCATCTTGTTAAGGTTATTGTTTACCACTCGGGTGTGAATAAAACCTAGTATTTTCAGGAAAAAAAAGCTTTTGCCCTCTGCATTGTCTTTTGTCGTTTCAATCGGCTTTGTCAATAAAGTTTTTCACAAAGTGTGAGAAGCTACAAAAGCGGCCATGTTGCCCAGAGTTATTATTGGCAAGAAGACAGTGATTTTTTTAAGGTCACTTTATAAAAAACACATAGGTGAGGCAGCTAGGTGGCACAGTGGATAGCGTCAGGCCTGGAGTCAGGAAAACTCATCTTCCTGAGTTGAAATCCCAGCTCAGTCATTTACAAGCTGTGTGAGCCTGGGCAAGTCACTTAACCCTGTTTGCCTCAGTTTCCTCATCTGTAAAATAAGCTGGAGAAGGAAATGGCAAACCACTCTAGTATCTTTGCCAAGAGAACACCAAATGAGGTCACAGAGTTGGACATGACTGAAACAACTGAAAAACAATCACCATTCTTTGTGTTTTCTGTGCTTCATGCTACCAACTGCTACCCACCAGGACTCTACCACAATATTTCTTTAAACACTGCTGCTCCGTCCAGTGACTCCAACCCCCAGAAGTTTTCCAACTATGGATTGTGGAAAAGTGAAAAAAAAATCCTCAGCAGTTTCTGACATTTAGAAGGAAACTTGGACAGAATTTGGAAGGAGAACAAACTACATCTGGGGAAGGAATAGCTACCCCTTTGAAATCATTGACCTGTAAAAGTGGATCAAAGCAGGAATTTCTGTTATCATGTGAACAGAGTCTATAAAATAGTTCTGAGATTTTTGTTTGGTTCTTGTTTTGCTTAGGATCTATGATTTCATTAGTGTACATAAGTCCTGCAGAGGAAATTCCTCTATCATTGCGGGTCAGCAACTTTATGTGACTTACAGACTTTCATCTCCTAGGGTATTCAGAGGCTGGGTGCCTAGTCTCAAGGTTACATAGCTGGTATATGGTTGTAGTAGAACTTGACTTTGAGACCAGCTCTTTACCCACTATACAATACTTCCTCGTATATTGCACCAGTAAAGGGGAAGGGAACGGAGTACTCATTTATATAGTGTTTACAGCACGCCAGGGACCGTGCTAAATGGTTTACAAATGCTATCTAGTTTGATCCTGACAACAACCCTGGGAGGTAGGTGATGCTATTATCCACATTATACAGTTGAGGAAACTGAAACAAAGAGGTTCAGTGACTTGCCCAGGGTCACACAGCTAGTATGCCTGCAGCTGGATTTGAACTGAGGTTTTCCTGACTCTAGGCCCAGCACTGTATACACGATGCCACCAAAAGGCCCAGTGAAGTAGCTGTACTTCAACTTGTGGTACTGGTTTCACAACTCTAAGCTATCGTGTTTTAAGTGGGCCAATTCAGTAATTTGTTAATACATGGAGTTCAGTAAAATGTAATGACTGCATTTTGAAAGTAAAGAGTTATGATGTATCATTTGATGCTATCACTATGTAATGGAAGGCTTCTCAGCCTAAGCTTCTCAACATTAGAGGATTGCATGTTCTTTCTCTAAAGTACAACCATGTACACTGTCACTATGTTTCCATTCTGGAAAGTTAATGTTCTGTGAATATATATGTTGTGATAGTGAATTGCTTTATTTTCTCACAGCTTTTGAGTTTTACTACTATATCACTCTAGCACTATTACTGTTACTACCAATAACAATAATACAGAACATTTATATGGTGTTTTAAAGTTTGTAAGGCACTCTGTATATGTTATCACAGCATTCAAATTGTTCATGTACTTATTCCTCAGCATAAAATAAACTAAAAAGAAAGTTCAAACCTTTCAACCACCTCGATGTCAAAGCAGAATCGTTTGTCGATTGAATCTGTCTTTCTTCGGATACAAGATTTTAATTTAAACATCTCTGGTGAGCTAGTGACAAGACCGTTCTGTTAACAACAACAAAATCATGCTATGAAAACAATGAAACAACTTAATCCAGCAATCATTTATTAAACATTCAGACATGTGCTTCTTCCTGTTCTAAGAGATGTGGATACAAAAACAAAATAGAAAGCCCTTGAGGAACATATATTTTAGTGAAGAAGTGGAGACAGGAATGAAAACATCTTACAACTATTTATCTAAAGTTACATGGATTATTCTGTAACTTTTCTATGGAATCAGGAAAGCCACGGAATTTATGCACATAATGATTCCCTAACTTTCACTTTTACTAACAATTAATAGCCAGGTAACTTAAAATATCAAACTACTGATTATAGAAATAAAATGGATTAGAATATATTACAATTAATATTTTATTAATTCACTTTTACTTATGTACTTGGTTTTTTTTTTTTAAAGAAGATTAGTACTAAATTGTCTCCATAGAGTAATTAGTTATAGGGCATATAATTTGTAAAAGAATAATAACATTTCCCCCCAATCACTATGGCATTCTTTAGGCCTTTTCAGTATACTATGACTGAACAAACTGCACAATTATTGGAAAAAGTAAATGGTTAACTTGTAGCAAACCCACAGTTTGGTAACAAATCAGATTTCAGGACCGCCCAAAAGATGAAAATGCTAAATACTGTAATTCTAATGGTATTCTACAGGCACAGTCATAGTGTAGTGAATAATCATTGCCATGCGACTGCTATATAGATGACAATACCTGACAAATAAGCCCTTCTGATAATTGTGTTAATTTATAATTACTGATTAGTCTAAGACAAAACATATAATAAATTCTGCCTTATAACAACTAGTAACATAGTAAGGTTTCTGTCAATTTCTGTGGCAATAGTTTACCCCAAGATAATACTTGGTTTATTTGAACAATCTTGAGTAAAAAGAGAATAGATTTCTTGACTAGCAGCACAACACTTAGGACTGAATAGTTCACTGTTCTTTGTATCATAACATTATTGCTTAATTGCCATTGAAAACTTCTCAAGGGTAGAAACTGGATGTTTAACTTGATCTATACAGCACCTCGATAGAATTTAGTCTATTAAATAAATGCCCCTCCCCTTTTTTCAGAAAAATAAAAGATTCCCCTCCCCTCCCACTTAAAATATCCTTCAGTTTAATTCACTAAAATCTATTATTAACCAAACAGAATCCATGGCAGTCTATTTGTTTAAAGAAATGGAACCAATTATATTAAACAAATTGTCAATATGCATGAATATTTATATTGAATATAAACTTCATTATTAGCAAATACTTCAAAACTTATATCTTGAATTACAAAGAATTCCTACACTTATTAGCTACATGCTATACCACCTTTAAACATGCCCAGAGTAATGGAAGTCTGGGTTCTGCAATTCACTTTTCCTGCTAAGTTGTCCCATCACCACTTGAGCCAATGTATATCTAATGATTACTCTGACAAGTTTAAATTCACAAGCTTTTTAATTCATCCTTACATACTTTTGCAAGAAAGGTAATAGTAGATATGAAGCTATTACATGCCCTCCTCCTTCAAGGTCAGGAAAAGCCTGAAGTGCTATCTTAGGTCATGAGCTCAGAGGTAGGAGGAATCCTAGAGAGGTTATTTGGGTCAAGCCCCCTCCTTTTACAGATGAAGAAACTGAGGCCCATGGAAGGTAAATGAATTGTACAAACTAATAAAGGCACAAACTAATAGAAAGGCAGGCCTGGGATTTGACCTCAGTTTCCCAACTTCAGATTCCACACTCTTTCCACTACTCCACATTAATAGGCAATCACTGAGTTAGCTTAAGCATTCACAGACATTTTGTGACTTACTTTTGGTACAGATCTCTGACTTCTTCCATACAGTGTACTACCAAGATGAAAACTGCATTACTGCCATCATAGAATAGCAGCTCCATCTTTAAAGGTTGTCTTGGGCACTGAGAGGTTAAAAGATTTGTCTATGGCCATGAAGCTTCTATGTCACTGGCAAGACTTGAGCCCATATCCTTTTACTACAGAGCCAGTGCTCTTTCCTTTATACCACACTGCTTCAAAGCCCTGTGTTCAAGTCTTGCCAATAACACAGAAGATACATGATCATGGACAAGCCTCTTAACCACTCAAGGCCCAAAACAACTTTTAAAGACTGATTTGCTCTGTAGTTAAAGGATATGGGTTCGAATCTTGTCCTGACACTTATTTGTATGGCCTTTAGGCAAGTCACTTAACTCTCCCAGGTCTCAATTTCTTTGATCATAATAAAAAGGTTTGACTAGATGGCCTTTGAGGTCTCTTACCACTTTACCATGATTCCAGATTTCTAAGCCAGACCATTATCTACTACACTACACGGTCCATTTTTTGTGACATAAAATAAAATGCCGATTGTTCTATTTGTTTGTGTTTCAGTAAAACTGGAGAAAACAAAGATTGTCTGAAGTTTATTAAGAACAAAAAAATCAAACAAAGATATACATTAAAGCTAAATGTACACAGATGAAAGTTTAAAACAGGGTTGCAGGATTTCCCCTACTCACCACTTTTCCACTGGACTTCATCTCTGAAATACTCATTGTGAATGTTTTGCTTCCTTTATCATAAGTACAGTAATGTTTAATCCATGTGAAGCCAAGAGGTCCTAAAATGAGAGAAGACAAATTAGACCCTACAACTGATCATATTATAGGTATCCATGTGTGTATATTTCATGTCATGGAATATACCATTACATCTTATTACCAGGCCATTGGTTATAAGATTTGGGATGCATCTAACCCACCCAGCCTGAACCAGTTCAAGATGGCATTAAGATCACTGAGGACATTATCTTCTAATATAGACTGGAGGAAATTATGCTTTTAATACCCTCCTTATGTCCACCCCCAGAGCCATAACATAAGTATGGTAACAGCAAATGGTGCTTCACTTTTTCTAGGAGTCAGGTCAGAAGGGAGAAGGAGGAGCAGTTACAAGGTAGCTCTAACAACATCACCATGCTGCTGAATGACTTCAATGATAGTAACCCTACATTCATAACCTTCAAGGTGAGTATTGCCTCTCTTTTGTTACAGTAGCTACTGTCAATAATGTTCAAACTATGTCATATAGGAGGTCTGAAGCATAGGTGTGACAAGTATTCAGGGCCCCAGGGACTGCCTAAATTACCCCTCCTGGAATCAAATAGAGCAACAGAGCTGATTATGTCTTGCATACTAAGATCACAAGTATAGAGCAGCAGGTCTTACCACATCACAGGTTACTGGGGAATGTCTTTATAAAATGATTTATTTGTTCAATGAAAATTTACAAATAAATGGTTTCTCTGTTACAATCTTACTTAGCCAAAAGCATTTATTATATGCTTACTGTCTTGGAGGCGCTGTGCTAAGTGCTATGGAAGCAAAGAAAGGGGAAAAAAAACAAACAAATAAACCAGTCCCTACTCTCAATAAACTACTAGTCTGATGGAGGAAAAAACATACAAACTACTATGAACAAACAAGCAATATACAACCCAAATTGGAGACAATCACAGAGGGAAAGCATTAGCATTATAGGCCATCTGGAAATTAAAAGGGATTTAAAGGAATGATATTTTGTTGCTATATATATATATATATACACACATATATATATATATATGTATATATATGTACATACATATATACATACATATATATACATATATATATGTACATACATATATACGTACATATATACATATATATGTATACATATCTATATATATACATATCTATATATCTATATATCTATATATATCTATATCTATCTATCTATCTATCTATCTATCTATCTATCTATATATATATATATCTATATCTATATATATATCCACGTACATATACAGAAATAGCCAAAGTAAGGAATAACCTGAACAACGCATCTAAAAGAGAAGAGAATTTTATTATGGGAGAATAAGGACTGGACTGGAAGTCAGACAATGTGGGATCTAGACCCAACTCCACCTCATCCCATCTGTGACCCTGGATCACACTAACCTCTCTGAGCTGTAGTTTCTCCATTTAGAGACGCAGGCAATCACAAAGTTGTGTGGACCAAATGAGATAACATATGTGAAAATTCTCTGACAACTGCAAAATACTATCTTATCAAAAGCCATCACAAAAAAGTCTCTCCACAAATCTATGAATTCTCTAGATCCAAAACTGCTAACTATTCACTTTATAGGCTTCTATTGAAAAACTTGAGACATTTTGTATTCCAGCACCTTTAGGGCCAAAGTTCAGTGCTGGAGATGCATATAATTAATGAAATAAAAGCTGTTAATATTTTTCTGCCACATTAATGAAACATTACTAATGTCAAACTCAAATTTTGCCATGGGAAGCATGGCACAATATCCACTGATGAAAAAATGAATGCAACACATGGAGAACTGGGTAACAACAATGAATATTTTAAATCATGAAACAGTTATTCCTCTGATTTTCAATATTTAAAATTTACTATGTAAGCTAGTAATTTCTTTACATTGGAGACTAAAAAAAAACCAAAACCCAAGCAAACTCTGTTTATCTTTGTTTAGAGTCACTCTATCAGGCGTATTTGTAACTATAAAGGTGTCCCTTGCTCTCAGGTAAAAGAAAATCTTATCCCATCTGACTGTTTAGTATAACTTTCTTCTGTCACTGGGAAAAAGCAACTACTAAGTGACTAGATCTACACCAAGAACATTGATATAAGTACAAATGAGACTGAAACTGCAAACAAAATAGAAGTGAGCATGCCACTAGAGGGCTGGGGATGTATCTGCTGAAGAAACATGTATGCTGATCTCAAAAGAGAAAGGAATTTTTTTTTCTCTATGTTTTGCTAAGCATGAGAAAATTTAACCCTGTACCACTATGCCCTATAAGAACAATAATAAAAACAATAATAAAAAGCCCCACTCAATCAATAAACATTTGTTAAGCACCTACTATGTGCCAGGCACTGTGCTAAGCACTGGGGATACAAAAGGAGGCAAAAGACAGCCCCCACCCTCAAGAAACTTACAACCTAATGGGGGAAACATAATACAAATGAATATATACAAAACAAGCTATATACAGGACAAGTAAGAAATAGTTAACAGAGGGAAGGCACTGTAATTAAAAGGCGCTGGGGAAGGCTTCCTGTAGAAGGTGTGATTTTAGCTGGGACTAAAAGTAAGCCAGGGAGGTCAGTACTATCATTTTGGTACTTTGGCAAAAGATACATTTAAAAACGCTTTCACAACTATCTTTTTAGCATTTTTCTACTGAAGGGGAAAAAATAAGAGTTGAAAAACAAAACACCACAGCTACCAATAGCAAAATATTGAAACGATATTTAATTCAAGAGTTTCATCATGTCTTAATTTAATCTTATTAATATTCATGATATAGAGTTGAAAGAAATTTTAAAAACATAGTTCAGCCCTCTCATTCTATAGATGAGGAAATTCAGGTTCAAAAATAAAAATAAAGATAGCTAGCATTTATATAGATCTTTAAATTTTGCAAAGCACTTCATTTGTTGTCTTACGTGATCCTGGCCACAACCCTGAGAGGCAGGTGTTGTTATTATCCTCATTTTATAGGTGAAAAACTTGAGGCTTAAAGAGATCAAGTAACCTGCCCAGTGTCATAGAGCTCATAAGTGTCTGAGACCAGATTCAACATGAGGGCCTCCAGTCTCCAGGTCTTACATGATGCCATCTAACTGCACCAAGAAACAACGTGACTTGCTCTAAGGCCAAACAAGAAATAAATTGAAAATTAAGAATTTGAAGCAAGATCTTCTGACTGTAAATTCCAGACTGTTCCCACAACACAACGATGCCTTTTGTAGCAGTACGGGCAGTGACTCTTTACTATTACAATTCATGGAAAAGAAAAAAAAATCATCATATTTCAGGCAAGATTTCAGGCAGAGCAGGTTATCCTGCAATGCTTGCAATAATCCAGAATGGGGCCAGTAGAAGTGTGTGGATTTGTTGTGGTTGCTGTTCTTCAGTTGTTCAGCTGTAACCAACTTTCCATGACCCCATGGAGCATAGCACGCCATTCCAATGTCTTATATTTTAGCATTTTAATACCATCTATATGGTTTGCCACGATATGGCTGTGATCCAGAAGGGGACAATGGTGTAGTTTAAGAGGTGCAAATCTATACAAAGACCTCCCTGACTCCAGTTTAAGTAATCCAAAGCATATAAGAGAGTATACTGAGAGTAAAAAAGTAGTAATCTTTGTACACAAAGAATTCTATGGAGTTGCAGAACGACATACAAGTAGCATTTGAGAGGGACCCACAAAAGTCATTTGGTCCAACTGAATTCCAAAACATTAACTCCAGCTATAAAATCCTGATGAGTAGATATCCAGCTTCTATCCCAAGACCTTCAACAGCAGAGAACTGAGAGAAATGATTATTAATGACAAATGATTTGTGGAGATTCAGTTTCCCTTTTTTTCCTGTTTTCAAGATCTCAGTCTCTGAGGTCTTAAACCTTAACCTTCTCTATCCGACCCCACCCCAGGAATCTCTAGTCTAAGGTGAATTCCATTCAATCAAATTTGGGTAGAGACAGACCCTTTTGTCTAAATTGCCCAAGGCTGGGATCTGGGTATAGAGATAATCTCTCAGTCCAAGGGTGACACTTTGTCACTCTCAGACCCTCACTGTAATATTCATTCTTTACTTAATTGTTAACCAATCAGGGTTGATTCCCACTCTGGGAAACACTCTTTGAAGGGTATATAAACTGTGAGCCCACCACCATGACTATCTTTGATCTAAGAGAGACAGTCAAATGAACATCCTTTTTATTAATAAGTATGCTAGCCCTATTAATAAAATGATTAAATTACCCACAAATTATGTCTCTCAAACCTTTTTAATTGTCACTTTCTCACAAACCCAACAATAGCTGTGTAGGTGATTCAGAAAGGAAACTGGATGTTTATATCATGTTCTATAAAAACAACTCTGTAGATTAAAGTCTTCCCAGATGCATGACAGTATAGTTTATGAGGACCATTTTCCTTTGAAAAAATAGCATTTATTGAATGATTATCGATTATGTGGCAGTCTAATTGACAAGACAGTTAGGGTATATGGGTAACTGAGAAGGAAGTTAAAAGTGTTCACAGTTGAGAAATTCCCTTTTCTGCAGCTTTCATAAATTATTTTCTGCAAGAAATCAAATAACTGTCTTTGTTGTATGGTATATATATATCACAATACCATAATGCTTTTCCTCCTCATCTCCACCTTCTGGTTTTCCTGGCTTCCTTCAAGTTCCAAATAAAATCCCACTTTCCAAAAGAATCTATTATCAACACCTCTTAATTCTAGTACTTTCCCTCTGTTCCTAAATTTCCTATTTATCCTGTACGTAGCTTGCTTGTACATTTTTGTTTACAGGTTGTTTCCCCTATTAAACTGTGGGCTGGTTGAGGGCAGGAACTGTCTTTTGCCTCTTTTTGTGTCCCCAGCACTTAGTACAGGACCTGGCACATAGTAGGAACTTAATAAATGCTTACTGACTGACTGACTGCTAAGATGTTAAGAGAAGATTGTCACATACCATGCATAAAGGAGACAACCTTTGCCTTTCCATGCTGAGTAATA